GTCTGGGAGCTCGAAGACCACGAAGTGCGTTACTGTTGGCTAACAAGGGAGTCCCCGGTTTCCCGGGGCAACCCGTCCGGATCTCGCCCAGACCCTTCTGGGATGTCAAGATGCTCTCTTTTGACCATACTAGAAACCTATTAGTCTTCGCTGTTAGGTAAAAATGGTCAGGGCAGGATTTTTTGATTATTTTCGTTGGCTATGTCTGCACATTGTTTTTGGCTACTTCTGGGTTTTCCTTCGGCGATGTTTCCTGAATTTCGGCCTCCAGGGCCCGTAATCGGGCCCGGGGGTCATCAAACATGGATCCAGGACGGAGAAAAGAGCACCCTTGGGAAAGGGGTGGGGACCTCTGGGGCCGCGGATTGACAACATCATATCGGCGGATGTCTGGGTGAGACGGGGGTCAGTGCAATCGGGGTCAGCCAGAAGGCTGAATCTTGCAGGATCCTGGAGGGCCAAGGGCGCAATGAGCAGGGCTAAGGCGCAGGATCCTGGAGGATCTTGCGGAATCCTGCAAAGCTTGGCTGACCCAGGCTTGCATTGACTCAGGCTTGCATTGACCTGGGTGTGAATTGACCCAGGCAAATCTTAGCCTCCCAGCTGGTGTTGGAGTAGATGGGGTCGGAGGATCTCGCCGCATCGCCGATGCGTCGTCAATGCGGCTCGGAGCCTGATTCTCTCCACGCCGATGGCGCAGATGCATCGCCGACGTGTCCGATGCATCGCCGATACATCGCCGATGCATCGCCAATGCATCGCCGATTCATTGTCGATGCGGCTCGATCCTCCGACCCGATCTACTCGGAGCCCATCTAAGAGGCCTCTAGCACATGCGCTCTCAGCCATGCACATGGGGGGCGGGGGGAGGGGGGAGGGCTTCTTAGAAGCACCCCTGCTTTTGAGAAGGGGCGGGCCTTCTCTGTAGATGTAGGGCCAGCGCCTGCTAAGACGCAGCCTCCAACTAAGAAGCATTTCCCCCTCTCCCCCTGCCCCCCTTGTGCGTGCCGCCTGCACTCGGCTTTGCGTGAGAGTGACCATTTGCCGGAGGGAACTTTGGTGCGGGCCCACAGGGGTGCCCCCCTGGCCTGGAGCGGCGTACTTGCTTGAGTGTGCCCCCCTCGCGCCCCCCCAAAGCCAGCGCACCAAGAAGGTCATTCTTGCTTAGAGTCACCCGTACGTGTAGCCGAGGCATATCCCAACCTCCGAGGATGTTGTTGTTGTTGTTGTTGTTGTTGTTGTTGTTGTTGTTGTTGTTGTTGTTGTTGTTGTCGTTGTTGTTGTTGTTGTTGTTGTTGTTGTTGTTGTTGTTGTTGTTGTTGTTGTTGTTGTGTTCAGGTCGGGAGCTTGCGGCCTGTTACTTTACTTGTTCGACTCAGGCAGGCTACTTGCATTGACACTTGGCCGCCCCCCCCCCCCGCCGCCTTTCCAACCAAACAGCGCTGGGCCAAGTAGACGTGCAAGTGAGTCCTGGCGTGCAAGTGAGTCCTGGCTTGCGTGGGGCCAGGAGGAGGAGGAGGAGGAGGAGGAGTAGGACGAGGAGGGAGAGGAGGAGGAGGAGGAGGAGGGAGGAGGAGTAGGAGGAGGGAGGAGGAGTAGGAGGAGAAGGAGGAGGAGGAGGAGGAGGGAGGAGGAGTAGGAGGAGGAGGAGCAAAACAACGGCCTCTCTATTTGATCTCGGTGTCGGCCTCTGGGGCCCCGCGATCGGGCCCCGGCGCCACCAGACAGGGATGCGGGGCGACAAGCCGGCCCCCCGGGATGGGGGTGGGACTTCCCCTGGAGCGCGGCATGAAAGGACAAGCGAACGCACAGCTCGTCGCACGTCTGGGCAGGTCGGGGGCTGGGCCCCTTGGGAAGGGGGGAGGCCTCGACCCACCACCGCACCGGCCCCTCGCCCGGCGGAGGGGGAGGAGGAGGAGCAGGAGAAGGGGGAGGAGGAGGAGGAGGAGGAGGAGGAGGAGGAGGAGGAGGAGGAGGAGGAGGAGGAGGAGGAGGATGAGGAGGGAAGGGGGGAGGCCTCGGACACGGCGGCCCGGGGGCCCTCTGGTTAGGCCCAAGGCTCGCGCAGAAGAGCGCGCGGTTGTGCGAAGGAAGCCGGGTGGGGGCCCAAGCGCCGACACGGGCAGCGGCAGCGCCGATTTCCAGGCCAGGAAGACCCTCTTACACTCCTCCTTCCTCATCCACTCCTCATCCTCTCCTCCTCCTCCTCATCCTCCTATCATCCTCCTCCTCCTCCTCCTCCCCCTCCGCCTCCTCCTCCTCCGCCTCCTCCTCCTCCTTCTCCTCCTCCTCCTCCTCCTCCTCAACTATGTCCGACGTATACGAAAAGACGCGCCCCGTCCAAGAGACAGCCGCTCCCCCCCCCACCCGCGTCGCTGCGCAGTGTTCTGGACCCCCCCCTTCTCTCTGGTGGTGAGTTGGCAGCCTTCGCCGAGGGGGCGGACGGAGGCGCCGGGGGTCGGGCCGAACGGAAGGGGGGATACGGAAAGGGGGGGGTGCAAAATCTGCTGCGTGCAGTTGGTTTCGGCCCCGCCGCCGGGCCCATTCCGCGATACATGGGTGCCTCCTGGCGCCTCGAGGCGCCAGGAAAATCAGCTACGTGAGCCGATTCTCACCCCCCCCCCCTTTGCTATCCCCCCTTTCGCCCAGCCCGAGGGGGGGGGGTCACTGCACGTCGCATCGCACGCAACGGTCGACAAGCCGCACACCAACAGCCGGTCACTCTTGCCACGGGCCACGCTTCTTGCGTGTGGCCGATCGCGGAGGGGGGAACCGGGCCTCTCTCGCGTCGCAGGCACGATCACCACCGCCACCACCACCACGAGCACCACCTCCACAACTCACCACCAACACCACCGCCACCACCACCACCACCACAAACCACCACACTACAACCACCACCACCGCCACCACCACCACCACAAACCACCACACTACAACCACCACCACCGCCACCACCACCACAATCAGCACAACCCACCACCACAACCACCACCATCACCACAAACCTGTACACCACCACTACCACCACCAAAAACGCCTCCACCACCACCAGAACCCACCACAACCACCACGACCACAATCAGCACCACAAACCAGCACTCCACTACCCCCATCACCACCACCGCTGCTACCACCACCACCGCCACCACAACCCACCACCACCACCACAAACCACCACACCACCACCACGACAACCACCTCAGAGAGGCCCCAAGAGACGTCCAAGAGGCGCCCAGGAGGCTTCACAAATGCCTGCAGAGGCCCCCGAGAGCCCTCCGACGAGACCCAAAGAGGCATTCATTAGGACTCTGACCCAAAACCAAAGCACGGTGGCGAAGCGTCGTCGTCGTCGTCGTTGTCGCCGTTGTCCTCGACGCTCCCCGCCGCCGCCGGCAGCCGCCGCAAGCGCCGGCGCCGGCCAAGAATAGGAAGTCGTCGTCTTCATCGACGCTCACCGCCGCCGCCGCCAGCCGCCGCCAACGCCAGCACCAGCCCGAGGAGAGGGGAAACCCTCCCCCCCCCTCCGCCACGGGAGAGAGGGGGGGGCTCAAACCCACCCCCTTAATCCAGGAGGGGGTCCGGTTCCAACCCCCACCCCCCAAGCGTCCACAGAACGCGCTGTTTCACACATCAACGTCATTGCTGCCCACTGGCAATCATAAATCGTTCCAAAAACACGATTTCTGGTACGTTGACCATGACAACCAATGAAGCTCTTGCAAACATTTCATATAAATGTGCGCGGCGCTTAGGCCAGAGCCACATTTTGAACATGGCCGCCCTACACTTTGGAACTATGGCGAGGCGCCGTTGCCAGCAGGCGACGTCAATCACCCTGCGACACATCGCCACGAATATGATATGTTTCCTCATCCTCGTCCTCATTCATGATTCCTCTTCTTCCCTTTCTGGCACGCATCCGTTCTCCGCCTCATCAAGCCCTTCCTCCTCTACCCCATGTTCGGCGCAAAAAACTGAGTTCAGCCTGCTCCAGATGCGGTGGCCTCAGAGCGGACCACGACATAAGGAGCTGGAAGTTTGTGCAAGAGTGCCAACCCTCTATGATGACGGGGTTGGAGTATTCAAAAACGTTCGAGAAATGTCGAGATCTTGGCCACACCAAGCTGGCCGGGAAGAACAACGTTTTCAAGCAACTGTGTGGCAGCGCGCAGCGCATTGTCTAATCGAATACGATTAGATCTGAGAAAACCCAATCACTGAATGATTCGATCATGAGATCGACAGTGAAATCGATACTGAGGACGATTGTATGGTCGATCGTGAGACCGGTCGTGAAATCGATTCAATGAGATCGATCGCGGGATCGTTCATGCGATCTCTAGTGAGATCGCTTGTGTGTTCGATAGTGAGATCGATTGTGAGATCGATGGTGAGATCGATAGAGAAGTGGATAATGAGATCGATGGTGACACCGGTCGGTAGGAAGATCGAGCAGGAACCCGGGAACCCGGGAACCTCGCCGTTCTCCGAAATCGGCCCGGATCCGGGAACCCGGGGACCCAGAACCTGGAACCTGGGAGCCCAGCCAGCAACCCAAATCGGCGAGAATGTTCGCCAAATCCTTCAACATCCGCGGGGACCCCTTCAGTGCAAGCGCTGATTGGGGAATGAAACCTCATGCCTGTCCTACATGCCTCCATCTTCTTCCTTCCGTCCCCACCTTCTCCCCACTAGTACCACACAATTCAAAGGTTCCAGCAACAACACGGGTGAGGGCAGCTTGTTTTCAGGGCGGGGTTCTCGCCATAGCGCCCCGCACGTGAGTCAAACAATGATTCTCGCCTCTACCCTGCGCACATTCATTTTAAACTGCTTGAACTTCCCACGGCTACACTGATGGAGAGATCTATTTTGTTATTCATGATGTTGGTCTCGGTTGAGACTTGCCCGACGTTGCGAGAAAATCCCGCGTGCCAAACAGCTACACGGATGGAAGGCTTTGCTTATTTGATGTGGTTGCCGCTTGAGTCTTCTTGATGCCCATGAGCACAAAGTTTCGAAGTTCCGACAGTCACACTGATGGAGCTCTTGTCCGTGACAATTGTGACTCAAGCTCGCCGTCGTGCGCCCGCACGCCCGCGCGAGCGCGCGCGAGAGCTGGTCACAACGCCGACGCAGAGAAGCGCGCCGTGCCCATGGCGTTCCCCGGGCGACCTCGGCGGCTCACCTTGCTGGCCGCGGCGCTGCTCCTCTGCCCGCCCGCGCGCGCGCGCGCCGCGCAGGGAGGGCGCGGGAGCGCCCTGGTGCGCAGGGAGGTGCTCGCCGTGGACTCGCGGGGCCAGCTGTCCGGCGGCGCCGCACAGGGCGGGACGACCGCGGGCTTGGAGGAGAAGCAGGCCGAACCGGACAGGCGGGCGGCCTACCGCGAGCGCTTCGTCGAGATCGGGCGCGAGGCCAGGGGAGTTGCCGAGCGGTCTAGCGAGGGCGGCACACATTTCTCCTCATCCTCATCGCCCCCTCAGTATCCTCCCCTTCACTCCTACTTTCCCAATCTCATCCTCCCTCATCCTCACTACTCCTCATCACCCAGCAATCTCTCAGCCCTCCTCCTCCCTCACTGATCCTCCCCTCTCCCCGGCTTCCTCCTTCCAGCTACGCCTCCTCCTCCTTCCTCCCTCCTCCTCCCTCCTACCTCCTCCTCTCCTCTCCTCCCGATCCTCCCCCTCCTCTCTCCTTCTCCTCCTCGTCCTCCTCCTCCGCCTCCTCCTCCTCCTCCTCCTCCTCCTCCTCCTCCTCCTCCTCCCCCTTCCCCTCCTCGACGAGGCAGAAGAGTGGGCCGACCTCCAGGCCACAGCGGGGGCCCTCGGCGGGAGCATGCAGAGGGCCGGCGGCGAGGAGGGTGCCGGCAACGAGGAGGGCCCGCCCTCGAGGCCAAGGCCCAGGTGCAGTCGGGGTTGACGCCAGACTGCCAGCACTTCCTAAACGAAATTGAAAATGGCAGAGGAACTGACAACTTTGACACACTGAGGGAGTGCATGAAGGCGTTGGAAGACCAAGTTGCTGAAGCGGAACACCTGAAACAAGATGCGAGGGCGTCTGCGTCATCTGCAAACAACAGTGAAATTGTGGCGCGGTATGAACTTGAAGAGGTGAAGCGTAGGGAACATTTTGCAAAACAAAAAGAGGAAGCAGCTCACAAGAAAAGACAGCAAGCGATCAAGGACACTGAGAAGGCGAAAAAAGATATGAAGGTGGCCCAACACTTAAAAGATAAGGCCTTGGTGGAGAAATCCTGCACGATGCATCTGAGCAAGCAAGTCAAGATGGATATATATGTTAGCGACTGGCAGATCAACGTGCCAGAAGGAGCTACGATACAATATCAGAAGAGCGGCACGTCAGCTCATCGCTGCCCTAACAGCATAGCTTGTCCTCATAGCGTTGTCGAGGTGAACGTGGACCCCCGCAGCAAGGCTGCGGACAACTGCGAAACACTGCGTGCAGAGGCACAGTGCCAGGAAGGGTACGATTCGACAACACCCGGATGCGCTTCTTGTACACACGGTTTTGGACGCAGTAACGCTGATCCCTTCATCTGTGAGCAGTGTGGCCACCAGATTCTTCAGTGGCTCGTGTGGCTTGGGGTGCCGATCGTGCTCTACGCGGCCTCCCTCCGCAGTGCGTTTGACGCCGCGCGCAGGGGGGCATCCGCAGCTTTCTCGAACGATGCGCTGAAGATCTTGCTAGCGTTCACCTCCGCCTCTGCTCTCGTCGCGTCGACCATAGACGCAACGCCTGTGTTCCGCAGGATGCCCGATGGTGTCAGAGGAGTTCTCAGCATGGGCATTCACGCTTCGGGAGGCGACGCCACGGCTGTTGCGTCCAGCCTCGACTGCTTAGTCAACGGCGGCGAGCAACAGATCGGGCCCCTGAGCGTTGTCGGCCTTGTGTTTGCTCAGGCAGCCATTGCGATGCTCCTGGCGATGACGGCGCAGTTAATCCAGTGGTTCCGGGCCAAGTACACGCCAGGCAGCCTCATGGTGTGCTACATCGTGGCGACCAACCAGTTCGTGCCACTCATCACCGCAGCGTGCGCCCGCTCGCTCCCGTGCTACCACACACAGGTGCACCCGGACGATCCCCTTGCGCCTGTTGAGAGCTGGCTTTCACACGAGTCACTGGCAAGTTGCAGCGGTAGGGCGAGGTATTCAAAGATCACGGTGCCTCTGGCTTGTGGTGCCATTGTGGCAGGGCCGCTACTTTGGATCTTCCTGATTCGCAATTCGGTGCACGACCACGCAATGAAGTTCATCACAGGGTCCTACACTGAGGGGCGGCAGTATTGGGAGGCTTTCCGTCTCACCAAGACTACTGTGCTCGCCGTCACCGCGACTCTGGCTCCAACCACATACAGCCCATCTTCCAAATTAGCCATGGCACTCTTCACGATGACCGTGTTCCTTGGTGCACACATGCAACTCCGACCGTACAAGTACCAGGAGCTCAACAACGCAGAAGGACTCTCTCTCCTATTCACCTGCTGCAGCCTGATATGCGCCTCCGTCCTCGCGACCGACGCGTGGAGCTCCACGCAGGAGATGCAGGCGGTGGTCCTCTTCCTGTCCGCCGGCTTCCTCCTCGCAGCCTTCGTGTACCTGGTGAGGTTCTACGCGCGGGCAAAGTACCACGAGCTATTCTCTGAGGAGGAGGAGGAGGAGGAGGAGAAGGAGGAGGAGGAGGAGGAGGAGGAGGAGGAGGACCACGCGGAGGACGCCGAGGGAGAGACGGCGGACGCCGCGGAGAGAGGAAAGCCGCCGGCGGAGGGCAGCGCGCCCTCGGCGGGCGTCGTGGAGGAAGGCGGCGGGCGGCGTTCGAGCGACGACGGGAGCCGGGGCGACGAGCCCCAGGAGCCGCCGCCGAAGGCCGAGGTCCCCAAGAGGAGGTCGTAGCCTGAGAGAGGGTGGCTCCGCCGGAGGCGAGAGTGCCCCAGTTTTGGCGCCCTGGGCGTGCACGACAGCCACCCCGAGCGGGCGCGGTGGCGCTGTTGTGTCGGTTCTTCGAGTCATAGCCAATCGTAGCAGAGCGATTCACGAGTCCATGGAGTTCGTCTCGCTCGAACGAGCGAGTGCGGATTTCCCATCGCCTCCGAGAGTAAGTTCGGATTTTCCATTGACCCGAGCGGCGAGTTTGTCTACAGGTTCCTAAGGATTCCTACAGAGCGCTCATGTCTATTTCGTGGGAACAACGCTACCGACCCCATCTGTCGGCACCTCTCGTTTTTCATTCGTGGCCGGAATTGGAAATGACTGGAATTGGAAACGACGAGTGCGCTTGCGTGCGCGTGTGTGTGTGTGTGTGTGTGATTGTGATTGTGATTGTGATTGTGATTGTGATTGTGATTGTATGTGAGTGCGCGTGTGTGTGCGTGTGTGTGTGTGTGCGTGTGTGTAGTTATGTGTGTGTGCGTGCGTGAGATATATATATATATATAGAGAGAGAGAGAGAGAGAGAGAGAGAGAGAGAAAAAACAAAAAAAGAGAAAGAGAACAACCAACAAATGCGTGCGTGTCTCGACACTGCGCGCGAGGCAGCGACCGCCAACAAGTGCGCGCGCGTGCGCTCGCGCGCGCGTGTATGGAACGGGAACACTGCAAACCGCATAGCCCTGGCGAGCCCCAGGGCCGCAGCAACGGCCCCGGCCGCTGCAAACCACGGCCTTGGCAAGCTCCAGGGCCAGAGCAAACCGTGACCCCAGCAAGCCCAGGGGCCGCTGCAGACGGCGGCTGCAGCGGGCCCCGGGGCCAGGGCGAATTGTCGCCCCGGCCGGCCCCAGGGCCGGGCTAAAGCGTGGCCCCGGCAAGCCCCGGAACGCCGCAGACCGTGGCCCCGGCGGGCCGCAGGCCGCGCAAACCTCTCTCTGACTCCTGGCGGGCCCCGGGGCCGCTGCAAATCATGGCCTGCATGGCGGCCCCCTGGCCGCCACAATCTGCGTCCCCGGCGGGCCGCAGACTTCTGCAAACATTGGTTCCGGCGCGGGCTCCAGGCCGCCGCAAAGGTTAGCCTCTGGAGGCCCCGGGGCCGCTGCAGACCGCGGCGCCCGAGTGGAGCCAGCCAGGGGGAACCGCGGCCCCGGCGGGCCCCGGGCCGCCGCGAACCGCGGCCCCGAAGGGCATTTCTTGCCAGAGGGTAGTTAAATGATTTGATGAGGGTTGCTTCGTTTTCGGCCGGCCTGCGTGCGCGACAGGGAGGGGGGGGCGGCGGCGAGGGGGAAGTGGGGGGGGTGGGGCGCATATGCAACCACACAAAACATCAAATGGCCAGCACCCTGGCCAGCCAGCACTGCTGGCTTATGCCAGGATACACATATGGTGGTGGAGTTGGGCTGGTGCCGGTGATTGGTGGTGGTGGTGGTGGTGGAGGTGGTGGTGGTGGTGGTGTCGTAGTGGTGGCGCAAAATGCGGTGGTGGTGGTGGTCCAAAGGGTAGTTGAGGCGTGGTGGTCGTAATTAGTGCTGGTGATGATTGTGGAGGCTGGATGTGATCTTTATGCTTTGTGTGTCTATGTGCCAATTCATGGATGCTCGCATGTTCTTGCTTGCCCTTGCGTGCGCGCGATGTGTGTGCCAAGCCATCAAGGGAAGTTTTATGTGTAAGTGCGAGCCCCTTAAATATCAATATCGATATATATATACACATAAGTACACACCGATAAGACCACCCTTCGGGTGACAAGGAAATTGGGGGGGGGGGAAAGGGGAGGCGTTTGATCTGCGATGGCTCTGGGTTTCTTTTGGTTGCTTCACCTTCCCTATTGTCGCGCACATGTGCCCATGCGTCTTTCGAACTATACTAATATATGTCTGATAACCTACTCTATCTAGCTATCTCTCTATGTATATATACATACAACTATCTACTTGACGATATGTTTCCCAACATATGTTCTCATTCAATCAACTATATATAACTGTTCCACCCAAGTGTATTTATGCATACCCCATCGATGCATTCACATTCCACGTTCGACATATATATATATGTACAGATAAATACCTATCGATACCACATGATTTTATAGATTAAAATGTATATATAACAGATAAATAACATGTCAATAACATATAAATAACTAATACATGTGTATACATATCGAATTATATGTTCAAGTTTGTATGCATATGTCCATGTCGATGTGTATCACTATATGTATATGTATATATGTGCATCAGCTTACCAAACTGACAACTTATATATCGAGGCCTCAATCTTCATATCATATATATACAACGATCGACATACTTATTTTTATTATATGTATGTCTAAGTGTATTACTACCTGTATATTTAAATATTGATCTATCTATAAATATCCATCCGTCTGTCCATCCGTCGATCTGTCCATCGGGACAACCATCGAGGCAACCATCGGGGCAGCCATCGGGGCCACCATGGGGACAACAATCGGGGCAACCATCGGGGGAACCATCGGGACAACCGTTGGGGCAACCGTTGGGGCAACCATCGGGGCAACCGTTGGGGCGAGGCGTTGCGTCCCCTCGCCTCTCCCCTCCCTGGCTCGGTGGGTGTCCCCCACCCGTGGCTTCGGGGCTCGCCCGTCGCGGCCTTTGCTGGGCTGTGGTTCCCCGCCTCCCTGCTCGCACCGTGGTACGCGCTGCTCATGGTCTTCCTTGGCCCCCCCAGCAGCAGTTCCCACGGCTGTGGGGAGACACCTGGTGTGTGTCGGCGCTCGGGCTCAGGGGCAGCGCCATGCGACAGTCTGGGTTGGCTGGCCACCTCAGCTTCACTGCAGCAGGACCCCCGTGGCAGGCCGCGCAGACGTCTCCACCACCAGTGTGCCGACCATCACCACCCGACGGCGGCGTTGCCCACGCCAGCGGACCTCTTCGCTTCAGGGTGCGGCACCACAGTTGCGCCTTGGGCAGCCGCTGGCCCCCCTCG